TTTGCTTGTGGTTGGCTATCTGTGGAGATATAGACACTTTTATACGTTGTTGGTGAGATTGTAAAGTGGTACAACCATTCTGGAAGGCAGTTTGTTGCCTCCTCAAAAAGCTGAACATAGAAATTCCATATGATCCAGCTATTTCACTCTTTGGGATATACCCTAAGAAAATGAGAACTGAGGCACAAATGGAAACTTGTACACCAATGTTCATTGCAGCATTATTCACCATCTCAAAAACACGAAAACAACCAATGCGTGAAATTTGTTTTCTTGATGGTGAGTTTAATTCATATTGAAAGCTACAGTTTTTGATCTCTGCAGCAAGTGTTTCAAGTCCTCCTCATCACTTTCAGCAAGCAGCAACATGCCATCTGTTTAACCCAGGTTATTGACGAGTCATTCTCCAAACCCGATGCCACATTCTTCTTTATAGAGTTAAGCTCTGTGAGTTATTTGCTCAGCATACAGACTGAATAGGTATGGAGAAAGGATACATCATTGATGCACACCCTTCCTGATTTTAAACCATATAGTGTTCCCTTTTTCTTTTCAGACAACTGATTCTTGGAGTAGGTATAGATTTAGTGTTAGCAAAATTAAGTGTTCTGGAATTTCCATTCTTCTCAATGGTAGTCATTGTTTGTTATTACCCACACAGTCAAATGCAATACTGTTTAGACTAAGAATCAACACCCTTGATACTAGCAGTCAGAAGATAAGAAGACATATTGCTGCCAGGGATATTTCTAAAATACTGAAGAACAATGATATCAGTTTGAAGATTAAAATGTGCCTGACTCAGGCCATGTTTTTTGGTGTTTGTTTTTTTTTTAATCACTTACTACACAACTGAGAGCATGGCAATGAATATAGGTGAGAGATGAATAATTGATGCCTTTGACTCACTGTTTTGGAGAAGAGTACTGAATATCCCACGGTTAACCAAACAATAAAACGATACCTTGGGAAAAGTGTAGCTAGAGTGCTTCAGGAAAATGTGCTATTTTAAAATGTTAAAAAGCAAGATGCCACTTGTATCAAGCCATGGTATTTTCATTTCTTGCATATGCATGTGCAGCATAAGGATTAGTAGCAATTCATTATCTCAAGCCATATCAATGACTTTTATCACAAGTTTACTCAGAAAACATTGATAATTTATCATGCATTTTTAAAAGGATCATACAGATGTAATGAATATTTTATACATGAATGACTTTAAAATATCAAGGAGTGGTCATTTTACTAATATATTTGAATAGTATAATATTGGTTATTTTAATAATAATACAACATGGATTATATGCATGTTCCAAATATGGACTGATTGTATTATTATGTTGCTGTTGTCATGTGTCTTGAGTCAGTTCTGACTTATAGCAACCCAGTACAACAGAACAAACCACTAAAGAGACCTGTAACATCCTCACAATTATTCCTGTTTCAACTCATTGTTGCAGCTATTGTGTTACTTTGTCATTGAGAGCCTTTCTAAATTTTATTGACTCTCTACCAAGAATCATGTCCTTCTCCAGAGACTTGTTTATTTCTGAAAGTATATACAAAGTGTATAAGAAGATGTGTTACCATTTTAGCTTCTGAGGAGCATTCTGGCTGCAAAATATCAAAAGTTAGCATTGTTTACCATTAATGTTGATCTCATCAGAAAAGTATTTTAAGTATGAGGAAGCTGGAAAGTTCACAGAGACAAATGCATATTGTCAAGAATTCTGATTTTTTTTTTAATATTCAGTTGTTTTGCCTGAAAATAATGGACCATTTTGCGCATTTTGAGGCCATGACTGTCAAATACCCAAGTTTATGTCTCCATAATAAAATTTTTCTTGATCTCTTGGGTAAAATAGATTGCTTGTCTTGCTACTCAAGAATTATCCAGGTATTTTTCCTCAAGACAGCTTCCAAATTTTAGTGTGCAGCATTTACTCATGTATCCATTCTATTTTTTTATATAGAAAATTAAATTGACGTGCATCAAAAGAACTGAGATTTAACAAAAGCAATAATTATTACTGTTTTACAAAAAATATTCTTAATAGACTTTTTCAACAAAACATTTGAAAGCAACAAATACAGTAATAATTACTGGAAAGATTTTGATCCCACTGACTTGATTTATATTCAAAGATTATTGCTTCTGTACAAATAATAGAAGTAGAAAAGAGAAAAATCAGTGGAAAAAAATAAATAACATTGTACTGTTATTCTGAAAATGATTTTGACTGAATGAGTCTTCTGAAGCGACAAGTTTCTTCAAACCACACTTTGGTAATTGCTGCTCTAGAATAAATAGAAGTCAAAAGCCTATGTGCCTTATTTCAATTTGTTGAATATAGAACTAAAGTGTGTTTGTTACTAAATCTTTTCATATCTGTTTTAATTGCTTTTGTAATTAGTGATTTGATGAATTATTATGTAATAAAATATGAGTTAAAAAAGAAACTAGTGTTTCTGTGAAAATTAATTTGAATTCTTTCAACAGAGAATTGATGAAGGGGAATCATTAAAACTGTACTACTGAGTTAGAAGTGAATGGCACAGTGTAAAATATTAGAACAAAAATTAAAAAAACAATAATGATTCTCTGCTCAGCTTGCTTCTTAAGTTTTCTTGTACATTAAGAAAGCTAAAAGTGAGTATTAGAAATAATGACTTGTAACAAAGCTCAAATACCAGAAGAATATTTATTGATTATGCAAACGCATTTGACTGTGTAGATCACAACAAGCTATGGCTAAAATTGAAGAGAATGAGAATCCCAGAACACTGAATTGTGCTCATATAAAGCCTGTAACTTAGACAAGGAAACTATTATCTGAACAAAGCAAGGGAATTCTATACGGTTTAAAATCAAGAAAATTATGCATCAGGCTGAATCTTTTCTCCATATTTATTCAAATTTAATGCTGAGTGAATTATTTGAGAGGCTGGACTTTATAAAGAAGAATACGGTATCAGGAGTCACACTTGATTCAATGGCGCCTAACAATTATAATAATACGTCTGTGTGTGTGTGTGTATAACTTATTTCATATATTATGCTAAATATACATATATAGATGATAGAATGATAGGTAGGTAGATAGATAGATAGATAGATAGATAGATAGATAGATAGATAGATAGATAGACGGACAGACAGACAGACAGGATATATATACTGATGGTTCATCTGAAATTCAGTCTAACTGGTGCAGTGTCAGTCTAAAGTTAGCCTTTTAGCCATTATCTTTGCTCCCTTTGGTCTCCAGCTACCTTAACTGCAGCACATGGTCTTGCGAATCATCAATAGCTGTGGGATAAGGAGAGAATAAGGGCTTCCCTCACTGAGTGGCAAGACTTGAGGAAGACTGTAGCAAGACCCTGGTAAGAATGAGTTCCTGGTGAGAGTGAAACCCAAATGATGGTAGTTGAGAGACTATGGCATTGCTATGGAGAAACTGGCAGGGTGTAACCATAGAAGCCCTGAGATAGAGGCCACATCTAAAGGTTTTGCTGTCCTTGTCAATACATTTAAGGAGAAGTTGATTTACAACTGCTCTGAAGCAAATCTTGCATGATTGAAGAAAGCAAAGGCTGCTTGAATTTGTATTGAAACTGGAACCTGGACTAATTGAGCAATTGTGCCTTGGGACTTTGGGCTAAAATCAGGATTCATATTGGGTGATATTCTTTGCCGCCCCACTCTCCAACTTATTTCCCTAATAGACCCCATTCTTGTACTAAAACTGTGAGCAAAATCTGTGACTCCACAACAAATCAACAAATCTCTTGCTCTTGATGTGGCTCTAGAAGTATCATGGGCCTGAGCTAAGGGCTCTTTATCAGATTTCTGCTCTGGGGTGTGAGGAGCTGTTCTATCCTCACTCCCTTTAGCCCTTTCAGAGAGACATGACCCTAGCCCCCATGTCCTATTCTCTGCCCTTAGACAATTGAGCATTCTGTATTTTAAATGACAATTGTAGAAAGAAATAATCATATAGACTAGTGAAATAAAGGATGTTAAGCCAAGAAATTAGAAACTAGGCATATATAAATCAAAGTTCACAATACTGGGGTAGAAGTACTAGATTTCAGCACACTGAAAAACGAAATCTTCAAAAGCAATATAGATCAATGTTCTTACATTTATTTCCAGAACTAGAGTAGGAAATCAGAGTTCTAGAAGGAGCTTAATTATGAAAAGTTGACTTGTTACAATAGAGAAAGAGAAATGAGTATATTTTTTAAAAGTTATGTGTGTGGCCTACAGTGGAAAACTTTGAGGAGAACAAAGATAGGAAACAATGATTCAAGATAGAACTCTGTAAATCTCGTGAAGGATCAGCTATTAGTTGGTTTGGGTTCAATGTTATGTAACAACACAAATATGGTCTACAACCATAGGTGCTTCTTAGTGAAGAGTTGTCCTGACAACCCAAAGGCACATGGTTCAAATCCTCCCTTGAGATTAACTGTCCCTGAAAACCTGATGAAGGATCAGCTATGGGTTTGTTGAGACTCAACCATACACAACAACATGGTATAGAGCTGGTAAACCTTCTCCAAAACCCATGTAATTTTTATAACACCATTCTTATTCCTTGATGTGGGTCCCCACTTACTCTTTTGCACCAATTAGACCTTTCAGCTTTAAGGTGGTAACATAAAGATAACACTGAATATGTAAAATAACCCTTTATCAAAGCTATAATGTCTACTTCAAAGGTTTCTGACAAGTTTCTAACTTATACATCTGAAACTATTTGCAGATTAATATAATAAAGTTAACATGATAAAGAACTTTACTAGATATGCACATATATACACATAAAAAAGTATATATACACACATGCTTGCACATACATGGACCTCCTTGACTAACTTTTTCAAGCTAAATTCTAAAACCAAAAAGATATGAAGTGAGGAAAGGAAAACAAATACTTGGGGATGTTAAAAGGGAGGAAATGAGATTGTGTTTCTTTTTTTTCTGCCTCCAGTGATTACTCTTTGGGAAGCCACAAAATGTTTCAGAAAGATAAAACTGTTATTCAAATTCATCTGCACAAAAATATTGATGTTCCTGCAAAGTTATCTAGAAAGGTAAGACTTTATTAAGCTGAGTTTCAATTCGAAAAGTGAAAATAATGTTAATACCTGAATACTTACCTTTATGGATTTCTGTCAATATCTAATTATGTAGAGTGAAAAATATATATTTGCTTGAGTGTATTTTATGTAAATGTAATGAATTATTTATCTGAATGCTTGTTAACAAGTTTTATTGAAATATTTACATGAACACATTAGTCTAACCTCAGTAGACTAACAAATAAATTGGTCTATTTGAAAAATATATAAGAATTCTGCAATAATTATTATACCAAACTATAATGTACAACTGGATGCATATGTAAACATACAAGCTGAACAGTAGTAGAACAATGAACAGGACTACATCCATTAGTATGCGTGGGATTTATAAGGATGTTTCTACATAGATATTTGCATATACTGCAAATGTATCCTTATAAACAGTAGAGCCTACAGAGGCCAATATATGAAAACTTCTGAACCAGAACCAGACCTAGAGGAAATGAGTCATTGGACCTAAGAGTTTGGGATCTCAGTTTCGGGGTACTTCTAAGCCAATTGGCATGACATAATCTAAAAAGATAATATTTCTACATCCTGTTTTGGTGAGTAACAATTAGGATCTTTAAAGCTTTACAGCAATCATACAAAATGGAGCAATTGGGTTCTCCCAACAAAGGAATTAATGAAGTAGATAAAATCAAAGACTCAAGGGAACTCAAAGAAATAGAAGACCTTATGAATCATAGCCTCTACTAGCCTGAACCAGAAGAACTAAATGGCACTATCACAACCAACTATTCTAATTGAGATTACCATAAAAGATCTAGAAGACTGTAAAATAATATTCAGAATTACAGGGTGGGGGAAAAGGCTTATCTGCTAAAGACTGGTAGAACCCTGAAACTGTGATCCCTTAGGTACCCCTCAAACCTGGAGAAGAACCTGTTCCAGGAGATCACCTTTCATCCGAATAATATTACATTAAAACCTATGAGGAAAAATTAAACAATAATACCTATGAGTTATATAATCCTCAAAACAGTCATATTCCACAAACAAAACAAAGAAGGCAGCAAGGGTAAGGAAAGAGTAATGGAAAGAGGGAAATCAGGAAGAAGTGCAAAAAGTTTTGAAACATTCAGATAACTGTCATAAAACAAAACAGAACGTATAGATTGTTCAATGGAAACCTAATGTGTTCAGTAGATTTTTAATCAAACCACAATAAATTGAAAACAAAAAAGAATAATAATGTATGTGAAACTTATATGATACCCTAATGTTCATGTTATGCTTGTATCAATCAACTTATAAATGAAGTAGAAAATGTGAAGGAGAAATAATTAAATGGAGAAAAAGGGAACAATTCCTGTTCTATTTGAATTTGTGTGTATCAGCACAGCTGACATAAAGACCAATAAGTATTCAGAATATATATAATAATGCACCCTAGAAAATAGTTAATGTGACTTTATGACGCTATTACATACTGTTATGTTTTGAGTTGCTTCCAACAAAGATTGCACAGTTAGGCAGTGAACTTTGATATTTTGGCTATTTTTATCTGCAGACTCTTCCAATTACCAGCTTTAGGCAAAATCCCATCACCCTGTCATTTACATCAGATAATATTTCCAGTGCACATTGTTGTGGCTATTTTTCTTTCTGCTTCAAGTCTGCGATGTCTCATCATAAAATAAGGGAAAACTGTCAGATGATGCCACAGGTTAAGGTACATCTTAGTGGAATATAACATAATTAGATCAAAGGAGTTATTTAAAAGTTTGTTTGAGATCTGATACCCAACTCTTAAGGTATTAACAACTCCAGGACTGTGCACCTGAATTCTCCAGAAAAGAATATTTTAAACTACAATGAATACAATTCAATATTAATGTACCTAATATTTTCCTTATTGTTCTTAATAAGAAACGATACAATAAAAATCATCATAATTATATTATAAATAGTAGAAGGGAAAATATGTAATTTTAGTTTCTAATCTGTGTTGAAATTGCATGCTGCTAAATAGCATGCTACTGTCTATTGGTGGTAATTAAAAAATCTTTAACATTTCTGTCTCTTGTAAATTAAAGTCTATTTTAAAACCTGTACTACTCCATTATTATTCTAAGAGAGTATATATAGGGCATATATTTGTGTGCCTCAGATTTTAAAATTGTTTCTCATTTAATCTTTACAGTAATTTTGAGGCAAACACTACTAAAAATAAGACACTGGGAGTTTCCATGACTTGTTCAAGATCTCAGTCATATTGCCAGAGCAGAGTATAATAGATAGGAGGTAGGATACATTTAGGCTGACAAAAATTGTACTTAGAATACCAAGGGTTATTTTTTAAAATTTTATTTTATATTTGTTTGCATCCACAATTGGTATACATCATGTTTCTCATTTTCATTTGCATTGTGTTTCATGCACTCATTCCTATATTTTATGTTTCATAAAAGTAATCAACACCGAAGTATGCTCACCAATACCCCATCTTTTTTAGGTCCTCCAAGGATATTCCCATTTACTTTACTCCCTCCCTCCACCTACCAAATTGTGCTGCCCTGTGTTATCCCCCCTGCCTATCCTCACCACTCTTCTTCCTCCCTTACCCATGGTGGACAATATTTGGTGGAGCTCTCTAATTAAAACAACCTTGGAAGCAGGAGTGGCATCCACTTCCAAAATAGCTTGCCTCTGGAAACTCTATGAACTTGGAGAAACAATAAAAGTTATACATGTGTTCAGGTCTTTCATTCATAGGGTCATTATGAGTCCTCTACAACTTGATGGCACTCAACTACAACAACTAGAACAATGTGGTGAGGCATTGCACAGCCAACACAAAGGTGGAAGGTGTATATCCACCAGCTCCTTCATGAGAGAAATATAGACAGTCTCTCCCCATGGGAGAGCAAAGGAGAGAAAATATCCTTAAGATGCTTTGATACCATCACTGCAACAATGGCTCAACAGTGAAGTTTGTGAGATTGGTAGAGAATCAGATAATATTTATTTTTATTGTATTCAGGGTTGCTATGAATTGGAACTGACTTAGTGGCACCTAATAACAACAGTGTAGTATATATTTGAAGCTCTGGTGTCACAGTTGGTGACTGGAGTCCATCAGCTGCTCTGTGGAAGAAAGATGCAGGAGTGTTATGTAAATATTTACCTTCTTAGAAACCAAATAGGCCAGGTTGAATTGGAGTTGTCTTAAAGGCATTTGTTGTTTTTGTTGTCATGTGCCATTGAGTTGCCTGCAACTCATCATGACCCCATGTACAACAACTCTGAAAATGCTCTATCCTGTGCCAAACTTATTGGCTCTGACACACCTACTCCCATTACCCCAGTCACTGAATCAATCTATCACATCTAGGATCTTTCTCTCTTACATTGTGCCTCCACCTTCCTAATTATGATGTCCGTCTCCAAGGACTCCTCTCTCCTTGCAACATGTCCAGAATATGTCAGACGAAGCTTTACAATTCTTGCCTCCAAGGAGCAGCCTGGTTTCACTATCTCTGAGATGAACCTATTTATTTTCCTAGCAGCCCATAGTATATTCAATACTCTTCTACAGCACCACAGCTCAAAGGTATCAATTTTCCTTTTATCATCTCTAGTCTTTGTCCAACTCTCTGATGCATAGCAAGTAATTGCAAAGACTATGGCCTGGATCAGGCACATCTTAGTCTCCAGACTGATGTTGTTGTTCTTCAATACTTTGGAGAGGTACCTGACAGCAGACTTTCCCAATGCAGTTTGTCTTTTTATATCTTCACTGCTGGTACCAAGAGTGTTGATTGTAGAGCCAAGTGAACTAAAGCTGTTAACAATATCAATTTCTTCATTGTCCATCATGATGCTGCCAATTTGCCCAGTTTTTGTTTTCTTGATGTTGAGTTTCAATCCATATTTAAGGAATTTGTATTTATAGAAGAAGTCCATATTTGTTCCCATTCCAAATAAAGGTGACTTGTGAGAGGGTGGAAATTATCAAACAATATCATTAATATCACATTCAAGCAAGAGTCTGCTGAAAATTATCCCAAAATGACTGCAACAGCACATCAACAGAGAACTTCCAGAAGTGGAGGCTGGGTTTAGAAGAGGCCATGGTACTAGAGATACTATAACTAATATTAGATAGATCTTAGCTGGAATTAGAGAGTACCAGAGGAAGGTCTATCTGTGTTTCATTGATGACACAAGGCATTTGACTGTGTGGATCACAACAAACTGTGGCTGTCTCTGAGAAGAACGGGAATCCCAGAACACTTGATTGTGCTTAAGCGAAACATATACTTGAACCAACAGGCAGTCATCTAAATGGAATGAGGAAACACTGCATGGTTCAAAATTGGGAAGAGTGTACACCAGGGATATGTACTCTCTCCATACCTATTCAATCTTTATGCAGAACAGATCATCCTCCTACAATGTGGCATCAGAATTGGAGAAAGGCTAATCAACAATCCTAGTTTTGCAGATGACACAATCCTGCTTGCTGAAACTGAGGAGGACCTGAAGCACTTGCTGCAGAAATCAAGGACTGCTGTCTTAAGTATGGTTTGAATTGAAGGCAGTAGGTTCTTAAATATTACCAATTCTTGACCAATTCGTCTACAATATTCACTAGCACTGACTGACACTGCTATTTTAGAATTGGTAATGTATCTGATGACATAGGTTTTATTATGTCCTTCAAACATTCAAGAAACATTTATTATGTGACTGACTGTTGTGTCCTAGGCCTTGCAATCCCGAGTAGTTATAGAGTAGTGAACAGAATCAATAAAAGTTTAGGCTTCATTAAGTTAAGCATCCAGTGTATTAAGCTGGCTCTGATTCTTTGTTAGATAGCAATGTGAACCTCCACATGCAA